GCAAACGTGCTGTGATTAATTAAATAGTTTTTCGAGAATATATCATGATCCAGTGGTTCGAATTGAATGATTTGGGTACCATTCGATTCATCACATCGAGACTCGAATAATATCAAAATTCATCCAATTTGGATTATTGGATCACGATATAATTGAGTTTTGTAAAAAAAAATTGCGACCAATTAGGGTATTGCGCTCACCAATTATAATTTGTTAACTTTGAATTTCTAATTATTGGTATCGATATTGTACACATATCAATCTTATTAAAACAAAAATTACATTATTGAAATAAATAATTAAGTAAATAGAATACTATATTTTAAAATTTTAACCTCAAGACTGGCTCTACACTGAAATAGAGGTTTTTTTTTTTTTTAGAATACATCTAACTATATCCAGTGGTGATAATCATCAGGGTGCTTATATCTTGAAAACGTATTAAGTTGACAGGATCGGGTACTCTAAGTATGTTCAAAACCATTGAAAACCTCTCAAGAACTGAAATCGGGACCTTATATTCGCTCTATATTATATATTATATAAAAAAAAAATTCTTAATACCTGCACCCTAACCCTGAATATATCTAGAGGTGGTGACGACCACCATGGGTTATTTTGATTTTAATTCTTTTTTTTAATATATTTAAAAAAAAATATTTAGAACGCTAATGATTGGTGGTTTTTAGTTTAGATTATTAATATTTTTTACTTTTTTAAAAAAAGATTAAAAAAATAGCACTATTCAGTGTAAAGTTAGTTTAGAGCTTCAATTTAAAAAAAAAATAGTATATTATTTGATTAATTATTTATTTCAATAAATGTAATTTTATTTTGGGAAAATTTATAGCGATAATTGATAATAAATACATAGTTATTAGATAATATAAATTTTATATATTCTAACATAATAAAACTATGGTTTATCTCAGAATCCTGACATCAAAAATCCCAACGCTTAAAATTCCGAAGCAATTTTTGGTATTATCAGAATTTTGTTTTCGGGATTGTGAGCGTCGTGATTTTAAGTATCGTGATTTTGAGGTAAACAAAAAATTACCATTGGAAAATCCGCAATTAGTTATTATCACTATTAACCCTTCCTATATTGATTTTAATAGGCTATTACGCACCCTAACGTGCCACCTTTTGCCGTAATGTCCGTGCCATTTCGTACATTTCCAAAACCAACCCGTACCACTTTCTAGGTGGCTCATATAATAGTCTTAGTTGATAATGAATGCATTCAGAACTTAATTTAAATAAAATTTGTTACTTGCTTACTTCAAAAAAAAAAAAAACGTCATTTATTTCATTAAAATGGATTCTTTTAATTTTGAACACTTGTCATTAAAACTTCAATTTTTAATTTAGTTATGGCGGTTTGCAAAAAGTGTGACCTCTACTGATCATGATGCTATGTAAAATCACGATAAATCGGCCGATTCTAGTAGGTTTTTCGATTCTTAAAGAATTTTACAGATTTCGAATAAAATATAGACGTTGTTGATTGAAAATTATGATCAATAGGAAATTAAAATTTCGAAAGTTTTTCCGCTATAATCATTACGAAATCACAGGGTTACACCTTTTTACAGACCACAATAATTGGAAAATAAGATTATTTAACTTTTAGAATCAATTATTTACCAAAAATCGATCCTCGGAATCGATTGATCGATTTTTAATTCAGAAACGATTTCTTCGATTTACGATTCCTATTTTTTAAATCGCTTTAATGCGGCACCAAAATTTTAACCATTTTAAAAGAGCTTTAAATATAAAAATTAATTTTTAAATAAATTTTTTATTAAAAAAAATTTAATTCTTTTTTTTTTTTCCTAGTAAATATGAAATATAAAAAACTATGTTTTTTTATTTATTTATTTTTAATTACTATTTTATCAAAATAAATGTTAAATGCTTAATAATATAATAAATATTTATTTGGCTATAAATCGAATAAATACTAATGGTTCAAAATTAACAAAAAAAAAAAATCGTACATTTTATAGAATTTTGCTATGTCGAATTATAGGCTGGAAAATAAAATAGATGTATTAATTTAATTTCGAAACCTCTAATATAGCAATTTTTCGTGTTATTAGAACATAAATATTTATTTAAAACCCTGTTTCAATGGGAGTTTCAAAAATTAACAAATAAGTGGCGCATTTCGAGAATTTTTTCCAATAACATTTTTACTATTTTCGAATTGTAAATCGGAAAATAAAACAAGAATCTCTTGAAACCTCCAATAGAAATCAAATTAAATTCAGATTAGGCGATTTACTAAAATAAAATATAGGAATTATCATTTCTTAATAATCTGTTAATTAATTCATTTACATAAAATTCGTTAACAAATAGTTTATCGTTATTTTTTAGTTTATTGATGCAGATCATACAATTAACTCGGAATTATATGCCAATCAGGCAGTGCAGTCTCAAACCGGGTTGACTAGAATTAAATCGAATCACGTAGATTAATGCAGCCAACCCATCATAAGTGCACATTGTAGTAGAAATGCAACGATTAACATAATTAACTTTTAATGTTACATAGAATTTATTAAATGATGTTCATTTGTAAAAGTAAATGATGATGTTAATTTGTAAAAGGAAATGAGTATGAATCTCACTTACACAGACAGAGTGCGCTTAGTTAGGGTCGGAATAAATTTTAGACATTTATTGTTAGAGTTGTGTTTTACGGATAATTATAACTTTATATTAAAACTTACTATTTGACAAAAGTTTAGTAAATAATCCGACATAACAAACCTAGCCGAAGCTATTATAGAGTGTTTAAGTGTTATTTGATAGATTTATAATTTCAATGTCGTGCTCGAACAAGGAAGAAATAAAGTCTTAAAATTTCCCAATCACCTAATCCAAGCGCCTTCCAGATAGGTTGCCTGAATTAGTTTAGTTAAATTATCAAATTAAAAAGCATCAATTATCACTATTGTCCCTTACCAAACCATTTTTCGACAAGAATTCTTTTTTAAGTTTACAATAGGAAAAAAAATATACAACATCTATCGGCTAAATGATCGAAATATTGTACAAAACTAAAATATCAGAAAGATTGTCACATTGATAAATCTAGTGCAGCATCGGGAAAATTAAAAGAAATATGTAAACAAAAAAAAAAAAAAAAAAAAAAAATCAATTGAATTCGAAAAACCCCTTATCGGAAAATTCTACGAAAATGAACTTTACATTAATAATATATACGTGTAACATCAAACTTTAATTAAAAGTTTTATAGTTTTATACAAGATTAATTATGACGTATTAGATAGATAAAATATATAGTTCATTATTAAAATCTGATAATTCTGTAATTATTGGTTAAATTGGCTAAATATTGTGTGGTAAAACGTTTCTTCCATTTCTTGGTTCAATATATAATTAGTTAATACTTACAATGCGCATGTGCGTACGTACATACTCGCATATCATATATGTATGTACGTACGTACATACTTATATACTTGACGTATCATTTGTGTTATGAACACAAATCTGAGTGTATCATCCCAACATGATTGCCAATAACGAGTTAAAGTTAAATTAATGTAAGGTTAAATATTTCTATTTTAAGATTAATATTTGGAATCAGGGATTACATAACTTAAGTATTATAAAATTAATTATTAATACGGAGAATCCGAACTAAAATTTCTCTTGATTTTCTTTTATATGCTCTTTGGTAGTGCTTTTTACGTTTACGTTCCTTTATACTGGTTTATTTCGTTACGAGTACTTATTAAATTACGAAGATGACGACTCATTCGATTGCATGGTTTGAAAGTTCTATTTCAAAGCATTTCATTAATAAATATAACTATGATGATTTCTATTGTCGGATAGTTGACAAAGTAACGCACGAAAAACTAAGCGTATACGAATGGAAAAACCATAACCTGATAGTCGTTCATAAAAGCTTAGAGAAAATTATTGAAATGAAAGAAATGGACGAAAAGAAAATTAAGGTGCTTGTTAAAGAGGTAATATTAATAATTTCAATTAATAATCGTTTTTTTTTTTAAAAAAAAGCAAAGCTGATAATAATTATATAAATCTTGTAGCTTCGTCTTTTACAGCAGGTCTGTAGTTTTCCGAATATCATTAAATTCTATGGGCTGACTAAAGGCATGTGTATAAACTCAATTAATTTTTACCAAAGATGTCTGACTGTTTTTGGTCTTGTCTGGTCAGGTCTATTATAATTTCCAGTCTTAAGACTTTGTTAATCTGGTCTTAGACTTAAAACTTAGAGGAGACTAATCGTGGTCAACCTAATTTTTTATAATATTACGATTATTAATAATTAACTTTTAATTAACTTTAATTAATTTAACGAATTAACAGATACATACGGTGATTATTATATGGTTTTACAATATGCTGACAGTGGAAATTTACGCGAATACCTAGAGAAAAATTTTTTAGAAATGAAATGGACAGATAAATTACGTACTGCATCAGAAATAGCTCAAGGGCTTATGTCTTTGCATGAACATAATATCGTTCATAAGAGTCTTGTAAGTAATTTATATATAATATTTTAACGAAATTTATTAAATATTTATACATGATATTTTTATTTATTTTATTTGTAGCATTCTAAGAATATATTAATTCATCAAGGTCAAATAATGATTAGTGATGCAGGACTAACAAAAAAGTCAAATCAATTAAAATACATGCCGGCATATCTTGAACCGCAATGTTTAGAAAAAAATTCTAATTATGAACTAGATAAAAAATCCGATATTTATAGTTTAGGCGTTATTCTCTGGGAAATTTCTAGTGGTACACCACCATTTCAATCTTACAGTCCTTTAGAAATTGCTTTCTTTGTATCAGATGGAGAGAGAGAAATTCCTGCAAAGAACACTCCTAATAGATATATTAAACTTTATAGTCTTTGTTGGGATCAATTTCCAACTAAACGACCTGATATTAAAACTATTTGTGAAGTTTTAAAAATGCAATATGAATTAGCATTAAAGATCGAAAAAGCCTATAAAAATACAAATTATAATAATAGAATATCAAATAAATCTTCAATGGAGTTCAATAACACCTTAATTAGTCAAACATCTACGAAATCCAGTAACACCTTAATTAGTCAAACATCGACGAAATCCAGTGATACCTTAATTAGTAAAAATTCGATGAAAAAATCCAGCGAGACCTTGAATTCCAGTAACACAGCAATTAGTAAAGCTTCAAGAGAATCTTGTAATACTGTAATTAGTAAAACTTCAAGAGATTCCAGTTACAGTTTAGTTAGGAAAGCTTTAATGATATTAGAAGATTCAAATGAATCAAATTTATCATTCGACGAAATTATTGAAAATGATAATAATTTAAGATCACGACCTGATAAACCTAATAAAGTTATTGCAAGCGAAAACTTTAATAATGAAATAATTCATGAATCTTCAAAGAAATCAGATAAAATTGTATCACAAAGTGAAGCGTGCTCAGTTTATGATGATAAATCAATAGATGATAAATCAATTGATGAAATAACATTAATGGCTGACAGTGTCAGTTTAAGTGAAAGTTCAATTTATTCCGTACCAGAAATAGCAAATATACTTGAAGATTTTGAAAGTCATGATGTGAATGTACAGACAAAGTTTAAATTACCATTCATATTACCAGATTCTTTACTTACTACTGTACATGCTGCTGAAATTGCTTCTTGGATTGATAATAAGTCGCTTCCATATGATGTTGATAATATTCCTTATGAATTTAAACTAATTTTTAAAGGCAGTAAAAATGGGTTCACTGTTAGTGACTTTCATAAGATATGCGATAAAAAATCTAATACGGTTATGGTAATAAAAGTTAATGGATCAAATGAAATTCTTGGAGGATATAACCCTCTTGAATGGAAATCATCTTCAAATAAGTATGCGAAAACTGATAAAAGTTTTATATTCTCTTTTAAAGACAATAAATCTATTCTTAGTCGTGTTAAAAATGCAAACAAAGCGATTTATTATGATAGTGATTTTGGACCTTGTTTTGGTGGAAGTAATGATCTTTTTATGGTTTGTAATTTAAATGTAAGGAATAAATGGTCATGTAAACATAAAAATTATAGTAGACCAATAAGAGAATCTGAAGGTTATTTCAAAGTAGATGAATTTGAAGTATTCGAAATATGTGAAAATCGATTTAACTTTAGTAAGTAAAATTGATTTTCATACCTTTATAATTTTATTATTATACACTTTATATATATATATATATACTCACTAGTTAGCTCACTTATACATTAACTCACATTATAGTATTTTAAAAATAAATATAGTAATTATAAATACAATTATAGCTATTTTGAATAAAATAGTTAAAATTATCGGTATATACAATTGAAATTTATTAAAATAAAAATTTAAATTTAAATAAATTACATTTATATAACGATAATATAATTAAAATTTATTTAAATATCGTAAATTAATGAGAAAATAGCTGTTTAATTGTGTTGAAGGATAATGTCTCATCAAATAGGTTAATATAATTAATGTAGAAGCAACAAAATTAAATTAATCTAAATAGTAAAATCTTGAATAGCATATGTTTTTAAACTCGCCTATTAATAAAAGATTTTATACTTAACAAATTAAATAAAAGATTATAGTACAAAGGGTTTTATATGATGATAATACATTATCATAAAAATGTTTCTACTTCATAATTTTCTTATTTTTGATATCTGGGCAAACGTCGGGTTGTACTCATATACTAGCGCGAATACTTTAAAGTTAAACTTCTAAAACATTTAAATTATCAATTATCCCGATTTGCATATTCAACTTATAAAGATATAAATGCTATAAACGTAGAATTTATATATGATTGAAATTTTATTTCTTTTAGTGCTATCACTGAGCAAAAATATCGAATTTTGCAGAATACCGCACAAACACGGAGTAACGCGCAGGGGGCGTTTTTTTAAATTTCGGCCCAAATTAAACTTAATTTAGGCCGAAATTTGGAACTACAACCCTGCGCGTTATTTCGAGTTTATGCGATTATATACTTCCTTTAGCATAATTCCGATATGATGTATGGTTTATAATGTGAAAATTTGCAAAGTTTCTGGATGTCATAATCAGAAGAAAAATACGTACATATTATTCCCGGGATTATTATTTTGCAAAATATGATATTGACTATATTATAAGTGAAATATATATAATGACTATATAGTACATAATTTATGATTAATTTTAGGTTGATTGATGTTAATGCCGTATTATTGATCATTATGTTTAAGTGCCACATACAATAAGTTACAAATTATATAAAATTATAGAATATATAATGAAATCCCACTTATAGACTATAATGAAGTCCCAATTAAAGACTATATAATAAAAACCCAATTATGGACTATAGATAAACTTTTATAGCACGCGGGTATTGGAAGTATAGTATAATAGCTGATACATGTAACAACCAGAATATTTCCATCACACCTTTAATAGTCCACCAGATAGTGAATATTTGGTAATCTGATGTCTCAGTAAACGAAGTTTTCTCCATGCGATGTGAAAAATCCATTAACACATTTTTGCTATTCTTGCAATCGCGTAAAATTTATAATTTCGCATTAATTACCGAATAATTTTCAATTAAAGTGGTAGTCTATCGTGAGTTTCAGTTGTAATTTAGTAAATTTGTCATAGCTATAGATACGTCGAACTTTATCAAACCTATCCACCAGCTCATTCATATCGTATCAAGATCATTAACGTTCGCTTTTGTTCCACCTTTAAAAAATATCGATTTTTGGCCCAGCAGAGAAAATTAGATTATCAGATTATTTAATGCTAATTGCTGTCGATATTGAATCCGATAAATTTCGATATGGAAATATTTAATGCTTGATATTGAATCCGATAATCGATATGGAAATCCTTATTAAGAAATCGGCTAAAAGTCTCAAGTGGATTCTAATAATAGAATCCAGAAATAGTGTAATATGCATTCGATTTATTGCTAGAAAATTCTCTATCTCGCACTGCATAGCGCACTGCAGATAATTTTTTCTATTTACAGCTTGTCAGTGTTCCGCAAAAGAACTGGATCAATCTTTGCAAATTGCGGTTTTTTTTTTTAAGATTTCATGCACATTATGCGCATTATTACACACAGATAGTTAGAGTACTTACGTACGTACGTTACTTAACTAATTTTTTTATTTTAAATTATTTATATTAAATTTATGAAATTTTAAACTAAAGCCTTTTTAATCAAAATAAAACTACTGTGTTCGGATTAATTCGGTTCTTGTTCAATTGGTAAATTGTCTATTGCATATCCAATTACCCTTGCGTACATAGTTTCACTAAACTAACTTCTTAAATGATGAACATACGCATTATAATTTAATTTTCAAAGATTGAGTTTATTTTAATAATTTAATTTAATTTAATTTATGTTATTTTAATTTATTTTAATTTAATTTATTTATTTATTTATTTATTGACGCCATCTTGATCAATTTTAAATCTTCGATGAAGAAATTCAGAACAAATAAACCAGCTTTCGTAATGATATAACCCTAATTCTTGGAATTTTAAATAAATGAATTTGGATCAGAAGGAACTTTAAACATAAATACTTTATATTCACACGGCCAATTAATAAGAACTCGAAAGTTTCATATACTTAATTGTCGACTTTAAATGAATATATAATTGATCTTTACCGTATAAGCGCGAAATAACGCCCAGGGGTGTAATATCGAAATTTGGCCTAAATTAAGCTTAGTTCGGGCCATCATTCGAAATAACACCCGTGGGCGTAATTTCATGCTTATACAGGTATACTTGTCTACTATATAATTAACAATCAATTGCTTGTTATTATTATTATCGAAAAATGTACTAGTAATGTAAGGTAAACGCTAATGCCAATCAATCATCTGCAAGATCTCCTTATTTATTCGATATGTATGCCGTTTATCCATTTGACGGATCTTTTCGGATTGATCGGATTATCGGATCGACTTTAAGCACTAATAGTTCTAGAATTACGTACAGTACGTATATAGTAACAAAATTGTACTATATAACTAATTAATTATGTATATATTTTTGTAAAGCAAATAATTGTAATATAGTTCTAAATCAGTAATATATATTTAATAATATTACCTATAAAAGTTAGATCTAAAAAATAAACAAACAAAACGAGTTTTAAATAACAAGGAAACTTGATGTATTACTAATAGGTGCAAAAAAAATATGTACTACAAATAATATCGGCCAAGGTCGGATATTATTTTCACTCGGCATATGTATTGAAATATTAGCGTTAGGAGAATTGTCAATTTAAGAGGTAAACAGATTTAATTCGTAATTTTTATTTCTTTTTAATTAACCATATTTTGATTAGTAAAAATCCTAATTTGGTCTTTTTAAATATATTCATTTTCGTGTAATAATGCATCATGCATTGTGTCAATGAGGTAAGACAATAACAAAATTGTTCAAACGTTCACTATTAATTAGCCAATCCTGTTCATTCGGGATTTATCCGTTGCAGAATTTAATTGTATCAAATTTTAAATGCATAGTAATAATAGTAATAGCGATAGCATAATAGTATTGATCTTTTTTTAAGTTTTTTATTGTCCAGCTGAATACACTAAACTAAAGTTAAACCATAAACCAAATCTTTTATGAATTTTAGTTAACCCGGAGAAATTCATACGCATACTCCAATCAATACTGCAATATAGAAAAATATAGAAAGGTTATCAGTTATTATGTACTGTATACAAGTCAGCACATACGTTACGTTATGCATGTTCTGTACGTACTGCAGATACGTACTTTTGCGCACACAAATTTGGAATACAAAAGTAAATAGATAATTTATGCAGAGAGCCAAGGACGTTTCGGCTTAATTAGATATTTGTGCATACGTACGTAAGTACAATACGTACAAATATTTATAACACTTATGCACTCCCAATTTCGTTATGTTTATTTATATATTCGTATGCGTATAATTACGCCGCTTGTGAAATTTATAAAATCCGATTGCATTAAAGCAATAAACCTAGAATTAAAGTTCAATGTACAACATTTTATGGTTGTGATATGTTATGTTGCTCTATTTTATTAAAAAAAATCCAAAACTGGTTTAACTTTATTGTTACTCAAAGATATAAGATAATTTATCGGGAGTTTTTGGTTTGTTTCTTTTTACCAGTTACTCAATCTGTCTAAATCTATTAAATAGATTGTGTAATTATTATTACAAATTAACTAACCTGATCTATAAGATTAATAAGTACGTACGTGCGTACGACGGTACGTCAAATCAAATAGTCCATCTAATTTAGTCATAATAAAATGACTATTTTATAAAATGACTATAAGAAAAGAGATGAGAATTTGATATACGATAGGTTAAGATCGCTTTATTAGGTTAATTGGTCCAATCAAACTAGAAATATATGTTTATTTTTAATTGTTTACTAGCAAAAAAATTTAGACTTGTACGTGAGAGAACCAAGAATAATTTGATTCAGCGACATCCGTTTGGTTAATACATTGTATGATTGTATTGATCGAATATTCCATTATTCAACAGAAACGCAGTAAACAATGTTCAATAATATCACATGCAATGTTACATGTATAATTTACTTCGGAATAACTTGGAAAACTTAATTTCCATTTTAAAATAGTACTCGCTTTCTTATTCTTTATTCTCTTTTTTTGAAGTAAAATAGTCATTCTTTTAATAGTATAATTTTTTCGTAAATTTCTTCCTCTTATAACATACATGGCAAATCAATCAATTAAATGGCTCGAAAAAGCTATATCAGAACAATTTATTAATCAATATAATTATGAAGATTTTCAACCGTTTCAATTTATCGGCGAGGGGTCATTTGCGAAAGTGCAAAAATTTAAATGGAAGAATTATAATATGATGGCTGTTCATAAAAGTTTAAGAGGATTCATTGAAATGGAAGAAATGAATGAAGAAAAAATTAAAGAACTTGTTAAAGAGGTACTTTTTATGATTTAATTCAAATATTTCGTATTCTAAATAATTTAAATTTTATTTAATTTTTTATTTAATGCATAAATTTGCAGCTACGGCTTCTGCAACAAATTTGTAGTTTTCCGAATATTATTAATTTTTATGGAGTTACCAGAGGCATGTATTTAAGAAGAATAATTATAATGTTAACATAATATTTAATCGTAATATTGCTATCATCATATTTTTAAATCCGAATTTTTATCACAATTTTTATAATAATCTTATAATAACGTCAATACTCTTATATTTGTATAATTATAGACCTAAACGGTGACTATTACATGATTTTACAATATGCTGATGGTGGAAATTTAAGTGAATGCTTGAAAACAAACTTTCCAAAATTAAGATGGACCGAGAAATTACGCATTGCCACGGAAATAGCCCAGGGGATATTAACATTGCATGAACACGGAATTGTTCATAAAGATCTTGTAAGTATTATATTTATTATTAATTAAATAAAATTCAAAAAAATTTTAAATAAACCAAATTTTTCTATTATTATTTTATATATAGCATTCCAAGAATATATTAGTTCATCAAAATAAAATGATGATTGCAGATTTGGAATTAACGAAACGTATAGGTGAAAAATCGAGTTCAATAACTTATGAATATCCAGCATATGTTGATCCACAATGTTTAAAAAAAGACTCTAAATATGTTCGAACCAAAAAATCGGATGTTTATAGCTTTGGAGTTATTCTTTGGGAAATTTCTAGTGGAAGACCACCTTTTCAATCATATAGCTCATCAGAAATTGCTTTTTTTGTATCTGATGGTGAAAGAGAAATGCCCGTAGAAAATACACCATCAAAATATTCTAAACTTTATAAACATTGTTGGGATCCTGATCCAAATAAACGACCAGATATAAAAACTGCCTATGAAGTTTTAAGGAAACAATATGAATTAGCATTACATGTTGAAAAACTTCATATGAATGCAAATTCTAACGCAAATTTAGTTCACAATAATACTTCAAATCAAGGAGGTCAATTAAATAATAAATTATTTCATAACACAAGTTCTCATGATAATCTGGCTCGTAAAGCTTTGGAGCAACAAGATGAATCAAATGATAGATTTGTTTATAGTCCTGAATCAGATGATAGATTTGTTTATAGTCCTGAAGCAATTGACAATTTGGTTCCGTTGAAACAAGATCAATCAAATGTTAGATTAGTTACTAACATAAGATCAAAGTCGGACAGTCAATTGATTCGCAAAACTAGTGAAGCTAGTATGAGGGCATATAATGATTCAATTACACCTGTCTATGTAAGAGCAAATTCGGACAATTGTGCTTCGGTTAGACAAACTAATTTAAGAACAAATTCGGATAATAATCACGTTAACCCAAGAACAAATTCTGATAATAATACTGTTAGATCAGGCAGCATAAAAAGCAATAATTCTTCAGTTAAATCACCCAGTATAAAAACAAATTCAGATAATAATTCTATTATTCGCGTTAGATCTCCCAGCATAAAAACTAATTCGGATAATAACTTAAATCAAAATTGCGTTGATTATCAATTAAATTTATCAAATTTACAAATTGATAAAGCTAGCATTTATACTAGTTCAGATTCAAGATCAGCAGATGAATCAACTTTACATCCTGATGAATATTACAGCATGAGCGAAACTTCGGTTGACAAACTAATTCTCGAAAATTATCACGATAAATCTTTAATTAATAAGGAATATGCCGCAATAATATCATCTTGGATTGATTATAGGCCTTCACCCTATAAAATAGATGAAATTCCATATGAATTCAGATTACTTCTTAAAGGCAGCAAAGATGGATTTTCGATTGAAGAGTTTCATAATTTATGTGATAATAAATTTATGACAGTTGTAATGTTAAAAGTTAACGGAACTGATGAAATTCTTGGAGGATATAACCCCATTCAATGGAAAAGAGCTAACAACAAATATGTAAGAACAGCCGATAGCTTTATTTTTTCGTTAAAACTTCAAAATAGTATTCTTAGTCGGGTTAGTAACAAAGATAAAGCGATTTATTATGATAGAGATTTTGGACCTTCTTTTGGTGGTAGTAATGATCTTTTTTTAACTTGTAATATTAACATAAGGAATAAATGGTCTTGTAAAAAGAAGCATTATAGTAGGCCAATCAGAACTTCGGAAGGTTACTTTAGTGTAGATGAATATGAAGTATTCGAAATATGTAAAAAAAATAATATTGTTATAAATATGTAAAAATTATAATAGTTAGTTTATATTATTATAAATATATTATATACAGAAATATGCATATACGTATTTTTATTGTATACGTATATATATAATATATATATATTAATAAACATTTATATCAGATTTATAGCATGGCATGGCAATTATCGTAATCTGATTATCTTATCTGTTATTCTTATTGTGTAAATCATACGTACATGCATAAGTATACTTTCTTTAATTGATAACTTGTTAGGTTTAATGCGTCGCATTGTGTTTAGAGTCTAGTATACTGTATTATTTATCATCCTATTAGACAAACATTTGTGTGTGAATACAAACATAGACGCACTAACATAGCAGACAATAAAATTTATCTTCATAAAGTTAATGCAAAGTAATCATTTTGGTCTTAATGCAATTTACGTGTCAATTTATGTAGACAATAGTAGTCTCCGTTACATTCAAAGACTATTATCAAGCAATCGAGATGTTGCTTAGTCATTTCCATTCTAACAAATGTTCAAAAGTTCATTCGTACTAAATACGAATTTAAAATTCAGCCTATCATACACGTGGTTGTACTCTACCTCTATGAAAAAAATGGGTATCAAGTCCATACTTATTTCTGCATCTAAATTTTTATAATAGTTTTATATTACACTAGTCTAAAAATGATTAAGTTCAAAAATTTATCCGAAATGAGAATATGTATCCGAAATTAGTGAGTTCGTAAAATAACCGAATCTTAATACAATAAGGTGAAATAGACCTTGTAAAATTATTAGTTTTCGTTAAGTTAAACAAGTATTGAACGAAGTTTTGATTTAGAGATAGCTCTTAAGAGTAAATTTCTGTTTATTTATCCATTTACTATCAGTAAGTGAAATCTTATATTACGATAATTCAACATTCGAAACGAACCTAAAAAATTCTTGATTATCACCGTTGCAATAAGATCAACTGCGGCATCAATCGCGCTTATTTAGAAAAAGGTATTCTCAAAGTAATGTAGACAAACGACAATTTCTTTTCAAAAAATAAGTATATTTTGCTTTCATTTTTTCAATTTTTTAAAATCGGTTGCATAAAGAATTCAAATAATTTCACTAAAAATTTCGACAACTATGAAATTTAATTTCGCCGCTAAGAAAATTAAATGTCGAAATAATTTTTTATTAAGAGGAATAATTAATACACTCATGTATAGTTAGACGTATTGTTTCTTGAAGATTGGAGGAGATTCAAGAATTTTTTTTCTAGGTCAAATTTGACAAACGCGTCATAATGTGAATATTTTTTAACTGGTAATACCAATTCTAAAAAATGACATACGCTATTTATTAATTAACATATCGATTGCTTATTGACAGAAATCAATAAACTACACATAACAATTATACGTATCAAACATTACAAATTATCATTTCTGGAATTTTCACATATTTATTTTTGTTCGCAGTAGCAAAATGCTGGCTAGGTAAATTATAATATTAAAAATGTGCAAATTGCCAATATTTGAAATATACATATAAATAGAACAATTAATAATATTGGAAACCTTTCAAAAAAAATTAATGATTTATAATTACTAGTTATCCACCGAATTATAGTGGTTCGGAGCTTAAAGAAAGTGTAAACCTATAAACATCTCGGTAGACATATGCATTTTAAATATATAAATATTTAAGTTCATAAATAAAGATTCACAAAAGAATTTGAAAAAAATAATCGAAATTTCTACATTGAATGTTAATTTGTAAATCCGCATATACAAAAAAATGAAAGAACAGATAATGAGTGAATATTATTTATGGGTATAAAATTTCTATAATTTCTATAGAAATGATCAAGTTATAAATTTTAATAATCATCAAGTAGACAAGGAATCCTATCCACAAATTTAGTCATCACATAAATTGTGAATGCAGTACTGAAAAGTTCAGCATAAGTATAAGTTGGTAAATTAGCACCCGCAGCTTTTGCAGTTCGGAAAACACATATTGTAGTGAGTTGCAATATATCTATAGTGAATAAAGTTGTCTGGTGGTAAAGAGTTCGTAATGTATCAGTATCGTTACGAATCTTTCGTATCTCATAAAATAGCTTCTTATAAAACAATGACTCGCAAACTATGTAATAAAGACGAAAGATTGTCACTATAGATTCTCTTATTTTATAAACTAGAAGTACGGATTCACAGAAAGGAGTACAGTATGTTCCTTGACACTTAAGACTATCAAAGATGCTGAGAACGAAAATAAATGACAACTCTAAAGTGCGTAATGTCAACAAAATTCGGTGAAACCATAAAAATCCGAGGCTTCTAAATGGCCGAAAGACTGCAGCGCAGCGTACATATGCAAGATGTAGCACGAGAGGTTTGGATGTCAAGTAAAAAAATTGTATAATTGGAAATGTCCAAAGATATAGGTTTACAGTTGAAGAAGATGGACACTTTCCAAAGCTTACTACATATTGACAACTTGGTCCTGGTAAAGAGTTGCTTGTACAATATGCACTCGCAGAAGTTGAGAAAGGCATAAGTAATTCATTGATGAGGATTGAAATGTTTACGGGAATAATAAGCCAATATCCTTTACCGATATTTTTTTCTATTAAAGCTCGAGTAAACGAATCTAAAGTTAATGCAAAGGCCACAGCAAGTAGCCATGTTGCAAAGATATTTTCAGAAACACTAATATATGTGGTATCTTTCCCCATTATATTAATTACTGTATTATTGCCATAAATTATCAAAATTTATGTTGTAAGGAACGATATTCGCATAAGAAAAATTTCTTTTTTTCGAGTGGTTTTTAATTATTTTCAGATGTGGTATTTGATACAATCGAGTAACCATAAAATGATTACAAGCTTTGTTTTATAAGTCTATGATAATTATGGCAATTATAATAAATAGGAATTTTATTTTGTAAATGATGCGTGCACCACTAAGCATTAATCCAGATTTCAACTTCTTAATTCTGATATAAGACAATTTCAATTTCTAGAAAATTATCGGTAGAACTGTTATTGACAAAAATTAAAGCTAAGAATTTATTTAGATTAGGGTTGGTGTACAGCATTAATGTACATGCGTTTTGTACTCACTGTATTTATTATACGTACGTAAGTACGTATCTCGATTAACATGAAAATTAAATGTCGTAAATTAATATTAATATTTCGCGATAGTTTGTTTATAAACAAACAAAAATGCTGCACAACATTGATTATTAACTTCTCAAACTGTATCGTTGTTACGTACTTGTGATACCCAAAAATTTCATCGTCACGTGATTTACTAAGAATTTTGTTTATGTTGCACATTTGAAATCTGTCCGATCACCAGATCAAAATGGTGTAAACTTTAAAATATAGTACAAGCTTTTATTTGTTTAAAATAATGAATATTATTTTCTGCGTAAATAATTTTAACTTTTGTAGATTATTAATCGACCTGAGTCATTTTTTCATTTTACTGATTGAAAAATAACTTAGGTCGATTTATAATGCAACTATTTCTAAAAATCTTAGTTAAGGCTAGTACGTTATAAAAAATAAAGTTCATACTTATTTTCGTACATTGGAATAGAATTACTGTGAATTAAGAATTCACTTAAGTTAATAATTCCAAAAGTAGTCTGATATAAAATTTAGATTCATCGACGTGTAACGTTCGTACGTACAGTACGTACTAGGGTGGTAAATCAACTAAATAAAACAAAACTATGTGAGCAGTATTAGTAATTTTACTATGATCAGATTTTTCATGTTACATGAATGAAAATCGATTTAATTATTGCCGACATCATATATCGATATCAATTTAATTATTGCCTGAAATAATAATTACTACTATATTACATATCGATATCAATTAAATTAATTATTTCTATATTACATATCAATCCAATTATCGCAATATTACATATTTATTTAATGTTAATTTACGTTTCATTATAAAACTACTATTAGCCAAATAAATTTTCGAACAATTTATTTGCTTTTCTTTCGCATTCAGCGTCATTATCAGAATTGTCCTGACTTAAATTTGGTTTGGGTACAGATTTTGCTTGCTGCCTTTTCTTTGCTTTATATTCCGTCAAATCCAAAGAATTTCAGAGAGTGGCATATTTGATAATCGCAATTTTGATTGTTGAAGGTTAGTTGTCATATTTGGATGGGTTTTAAGATCCCACTTATTGAAAATACCTTCAACTTGCTGTTGGTGAATTACGATATACCAGATACAATATTCAACAAACTCAAATATTTTAGGAAACTGGTTTAACGATCTGTGTTTTTCCTGAATAAAGCTGAGAAATTCATAATTAAATGTAGGTTCATTTAATGCATCCGATAGAAAAGTCATTAAATTCATCACATTCAACATCTGATTCTTAAAATTTTGCATAACATAATTTCCGCAAAGTAGGAACTGATGACCAAGGTACTCCTAAAACTACATAAGCAAAGCTTTGTGCAAATTCTTGTCCATGTTTTCACCTAAACGGCAGATACTCAAAGGTAAATGCAACTAACAATCTAATGCTTTTTTAGCGTCACATTCAAGATCAGAAATGAGCTCACTAAGTTGATAGTCTTTTAAAAAATAATATTTTCTAACAATTCTTCTTCAAAGAATGAATAGGGATCTTTAATAATATTCTGAAGCTTCATTGTTGTACAAACTACAAAATTCAGCATTTGGTGTACACGCTGGCCTAGAGGAAGATTAATAGACATAGAATTTTGTAATACAGAATCATATTCAGTAAGAAACATGACCATCGGATAATAAAACTCTTTTCCAAATCTAACTAGTAATTTAACCTGAAGATTTAAAAAAGGATTATTAAGCCAATTCTTAAATAACTCCCATTCTTTAAGATATGATTTTGGTGTATTATTTCGGGCTTTAAGACAAGCTAAAAACTATTCTGTAAATTGTATGTAGATGTTTCTTTGCTCTAAGTATTGTTTAGCACAAATAAATTTATAAAGCCATCGTAATCAAATAGGCCATTGATATTTAATTAATTTATATTTAAATCGCTCTTCATAAAGCATGCGAAAATAATCTGATCGTACACCTATTGGCTTGTCTTTATCATTTTTATCATAGCCATCATAGAGATCCCAGGCTAGGTATAAAAAATTTGCCAGATGTTCTTTTAGTGAAAATCTACCAGCATTTGACAATTTTCCAAATGTAATTTTCTCAAAGTTATTTATTATAATATGTGAAATATGAATTCCACATGGAATTCAAAATAGTTTATATTTATTTATTTTGTTAAATAATACAATTGCTCCTCTGTTTACCACTTATATAATTTGTGTTGTCAGAAACACAAACTAAACACTGCTACAAATCTATAATATAATTATTTAAAGTATCATATATTGCTTGTACAACTAATTTTCCCATACAACATATTAAAGTCCTTCATTTCTAATACTTGAAGATCTGGTTTATTTTTTTTTGAGTTCTAAAATATAAGACATAGTACAAATATTTTTTGTTGGTCTCGTGTTAACTCATCTACCATTATACCAATAGTAAAGAAATTTGAAACTCTACTTTGACTTAAAATTTGACTTATATAGAGTTTGCTAATTTCCTAATTTCAATTAACAACAGATTGGTGTGTTAATGATAATAATAAATTATCTTCTGTTAGAAAACCCAAAATTATTTGTGTAGCTTGAATGGTACTTTGTAAAGATATTTGGTTAACTTGCAATAATTGTGTAGTTATATTGATAAATTGAGTTGTATATTGACATTTGTTTTTCATAAGTTGTGCTAAAATACTTGCTTTTAAACTTCACGAAGAAGGTAAAAATTTATGGCTAGCAACAGCACGTATTCTTGAAATATATTTGTTTCTTTTACACTTATGATATGTCAATGTTCTCACTAGTTGTTTGATTTTATGATCTTTTTTAGTATTTAAATGTTTTAATTGATGATTTGGATAAGATCAGCATAATTACTATATTGTGACAATAGTAAATTTGGGGATAAGTACAATATAACTTTTTATTATATGCTGAAATCTAAGCAGAGTCGAATAAAAAGTATTTCTTTTATTAAGTTAACAACCAAAGCAAATTAATTAAAAGTTGTAGAGCTCACTGAGACACATCTAATGGTGGTTAGATTGTTCAAATTGACCTAGTGAATACCAAGATTTTACTAAAGAACAATTGGCCAACTATATAAAATTCTATGTAAACAAAGTATTGTTTACATAAAAATTTTATATAGTCAGCCAATAGATTTTTAGTAATATCTCAGTATCTACCAGGTCAATTTGAACAATCTAACTATCTTTAGATATGTCTCAGTGAGCTCTACAACTTTTAATTAATTTACTTTGGTTGTTAACTTAATAAAAAAAATACTTTTCATTCGACTCTGCTCAGATTTCAGCTTATAGTTAGCATCATAGGGATTTTGCCCCAAATTCTAATATAGAAATTGTGCTGATCTTATCTGGATTAGCAATTAATTAATCTATTTCTTTTTGTAAAGTTTTATTATATTGAATTAATATGATCGAATCTTGATCTGACTTGTAAAAAGATGAATTGATACAATTTAAAGCCTTATATTGCAAAAAAGACAAAAGCAAATTGCCCTTATTTGTCCTTTAAAATACTGCATAGTATCTAATAAATGAATTGCAAATTTTAATTCATTGTTAGATAATAGCTTTTTGTTTGTCTGCTGAAGCCTTGCTTGTCTTCCATGATTGTTATTTTTTTTTTCAACTTTGATGATTTTGTTATTAACTTTATTACTCATTTAAGCAAATATTATATATATTTACATATACTTTTAACCTATTTAAGTAGTCATTATGACCTCATCTGACTACCCTATATGATGCCAGATACAACCATCTGCACCATCTCATATGTAAGATGAACATCTTCAGGTACCTCTATCAAGAAGCACTCTAAGTTCTAATCTAACTCAGAACCTTAATGTTTTTACTAATTCATCTATACCCTGCTATATATACTACTGTACAACGTCTATTAGTTATAATCTACCCTCAACACTTATCATATTACTTCTAATTTGTTTCTTGTATAACTTCCAAATTGGTGTCCTAGAAGTGGGCGCTCTTCATACTTCCAGTTTGGTGTCCCTCGAGATGTTACTTCAGTTCCTAATCCATATCTCAAGCTAGGTACTGCCACTATCTGAAGACCTGTATCTCAAGCCACCTGCTGCCGCCATTAGGAAAGCTGTTCACATGGTTTCAGATATTCATGTTATACACTACCAAATTAGGCTACCACTCCTTTTATAGTACTTCCTATCGGTATATTATTACAGTAGTCTAGATCCTTAGGACAGGAGTTAAGTATCTCATTTAATTCTGTCACAAGCCAGTAACCCAGAACCTGCGCTTCTGTCATGTTTCGTCATTCTTTCCTCGTTCCCATATAGGTTGAGCAACACATTACTCACTGGCTGACTTTATTTTCGTACCACTGGAGCACTTGCTTCGATGCTTTGGGATTTCTTTTCTTGTTTTCCTGTGCCAGAGGTGTTCTATATTTGGTAAAGCTATTCTCTTACCACAGCCTCTTACTATGTTCACCACTTTTTTCACCACTTCTGGATATATTGCATACAGCTGTCCTCCCAATCAAGATCCCAATGCTGCCTTAGGGTTGTTGGTGCTATTTTGCCAATT